TGCGGCTTTTGTTTTTTGACAAGCGTCAAAAAGAGTCTGCATAGCCCCGCCCCGTTCCGTGCCCACATTAAATTTGATTGCTTTCTAATTTATTGCAGCATTAAAAGTTGACCCACAGACACAGAAAGAGATGGCGGCAGAGTGACAGAACGAGACGGCAAACGGTTGACAGAGAGGAAGGGAGATAGATAGAGGAGAGGCAGAGGCGAAGAGGAAGTGAAAAGCGGCCAACGGAGTGAAATTTGTCCACCAGCATTTCCCTTTTGTAATTTCCTTAAGCCGGCAAGAACTGAATTGAATTTGCCGTCCAAACAATAATATTTGGAAAGCTGCCCGGCTTTGTGTGTTTTCCAGTTGGTAAAAGCTGTGGGCGGTAGTTTTGCCTGTGATGAAATTTTACGATTTGAGCCTACAAATAAATTTAACAAGTGTTAAGCAATATCTTTTAGATACTCGGATCTCGTAAAGTTACTATTTTGCTTTTAAAGGTTTTATATAAAAGGTTATGCCCATGAATTCCTTAAGCTAGAATTGTAAGTTGAGTGGATGATCACAGCAATGCATTTCTATATTTTGCTATTAAGGAAATCATTCAAAAATATTCAATGTTAGGGAAGAAGATTCGAGGTCTTAAACTGAACTGTATGAGTTAAGAAACTAACTTCGCAACTTAGGACTTCTTTAGGAACAGTAAGGCAGATGGTTTAAAAGGATAAGATATTTCCTATCGGTCATTACTTTTAAACTGAAGTGTTTTCAACACTAAACGGGATTTCCCACTATCAGAAATATTTTGGAAATGCTAATTTCACCATAACAAGAACTGATGTCGGGTACACTCTTCAACTTTAAAGCTAACGAAATAAGGAGGGCGAGCTGCTATCTTTTCTGATATCAGCTTTTATTCCCTCGATGGTGTTCGATTGGCAACCAAGCTGGTGTAAAAGAAATATTAAAATGATGAAATAGTAAAGCGTTTCAGAATCATTGATATCGCTGCAAAACAGTTGCTGATGACTTATATCTACGGATGGAATGAAGTGGTTTCGGTATCTGCAACCACATGTGAGCACGTACATTTTTCTCGTTTTCGTTTCGCCACTGGATCTTTACATAAATGTGGGGTTGCAATGCAATGTTTTACCTTTGCATAATGTCGCGTTGATTGCTCCACGTTATACGTACAACTGCGACGAAATAACATTTTCCCTCCTTGTCTGTCGCCCTTCCCTCTCACTCACTTGCTGGCCAACTCACTCAGTCACCGCCCCTCAGTCCAGTTTATGAATTTCGGACAGTCGGCGGACAGTTTTGCATATTCAAATTCAGCTGAGCGACATTTGAAAATATGAGCAAAAAACACAAACACGTTACGCGGATTAAATGGAATTGCTGGCTTTTTGTTTGTAGTCATGGACGTGGGGTCAAAAGAGCGACCTGCCACTAACTAAGGTAAAAGGCAACAGCACGCGCTGCCAAAATTATGGCCGAGAATTCCGGGGCCCACATGCTCCACATCTGCCATTGATAAACGAGCTGGAAGCGTGTCGCGGCTGACTTCAATAGGGCATTCTTTTTGCGAATCTTTCAGACCCGTATGGTGTGTGTAGCACATTGATTGCTATTCACCCAACTATTCTGGTCCCGTCTCGAGTTTTTCCAACCGCACGGCGACGACTCGCGAAGCCAACTGAAATTGAAGTTGAGGCCACCTGACAGCGGCGGCGGCAGCAGCTAAAAATCAGCGGAACCGGCAGAGACTCTGTTGCATGTGGCCCACTCTTTTGTGCAACTCGTTGTTGCAAGTTGCTCGAGTGTGGCCAACAGCAACCTCTGAAAATGCAGAAACAGCAACAAAGAATGCTAAATTGGGCCGTTCTGTGCGATGACAGCTCAATTGACCATGTCTGTCTCAAATCATGAATGCCATTCGCAAAACGGCAGCCAAATATTCGGAATCTGAATTGGAACCTTACGAGTATATTGGGTTTGATTTGTGGTGATGGGATTGATGCTCTCGAATTGTAAATTAGGATTTCAAAAATAAGATTCACTTTCTTTAACTAATTGGGGCACTAATTTTTCTTGTTTAAGTTTTTGAGTTCGAAGAAAGCAGACAATATCTTAAATTCTTAACACAAAGTTAAAGTTTTCTTGGAATGACTTGAAATCTGAGCTACTTTTTATGAGCTCTCAAATATTTATAGGATTTTCTTTCCGTTCTAAATGAATAGATAAGATGTAGTATGTAACAAACATGCAATGCAAAATTAGTACTCCTACCTCTTAGTATATATATTACTTATAGTTTAATCTTCCTGAGTATTAAGGGCATTTAATATTTGGTGTGCATCTGAAAGTGTTTTACCTCCCAATTTGGCTGGAATGACAGCCTTTGCTTTCGTTTGATGCCTGCAATTAATCCGCACAAAAGCCCTGGGCCAAGACCGTGGCCATGTCCATGTCCGCGTCCACGTCCATGTCGGTGTACATGCGCGTATCCATATCCATATCCACATCCATATCCATAGCCAAAGCGATAACGATAGTGTCTGTGAAACCTAAACCCGATCCCAGTCCCTGTCCCAACCACACGCGGACCTAAGGCATTGTTTTTGGCCAAATGTCCAGTGCCCCACGTCCATGTCGACTTTTTGTTCGCTGCCGCGCTTGAAAAACTTTTTACGCACATATGAGCACGCTTCCGTCCGTTGCAGCTGCAATTGCTGATGTTGATGTTGCTGCTGCTGCTGCTGCAACAACAGTTGTTGCTGCTGCAGTTTGTCTCGCATTGCAGCGAGCACTCTGGCCAATTCAGTTGGGCAAACAAGGATGTGGATACGATGTGGACTTAACTTTGGGCGGTGGCCGTGCGAATGACTTGCTTTGATGATGCTCGTGCTAATGGAATTTCAGATGAGATGTTGCTGGATGGGAATTGAAAGTTTTTAGCCGACAGCAGCCTTTAAAGTTGTGGCTTTAAATAGCCGAAATAGTTTATGGTTCAGGTTGAACAACCTTGACACTACTTTTATTTCAGTTATGCTTTATGTCGGTGGTTTTTGCACTTGTTTGCTGTTTGCCACATTTGTTTCTTGCGTTGCGGGCTGGTAATTAAATTTATTTCGCCCTCCTACGGCGAAGGTAAAAACTTGAGTTCCAGACCAAGTCAATGACTGCTCGCAGTGCTGAGAAAACTCATAGAGTTGGCTGCTCAAGCAGCGTGTATCCGCCAGATACCACATACAATTGCCACATATTTATCCATAAATTTCCACTATTTGCTTTCATCGTTTGAGGTGTCTAAATAAATCACGGCTGCCTTTTTGTTTGTCCAATTAATTATGCTAATTAGGTCATCAGTTATTAATTGGAAAAAGTGCAGTTGTTTTGTGGTTTTTAATCAGTCCATCTATCAGTTCATGAAAAAAGGTTAATTCCTCGGGTGATGAACTAATGATATGAGTCTAAGCCAACAGGGGAGGATGTAATTAGTTTTATCAAATTCAATTTTATGTTCAGAAATCGCACAACCTCTAACGGTTGCGCTCATTATATAGCGGATTTTACACGCCCTCAGTTTTCCCAGCTTTCGGCACTTGCCTCGATTTCCACGCGTTGCATGCCGCGATGACGTTAGATAAACATTTCCCTACCTGCATAATTATATAGTTTATGGAACTAAATTAATCCGAGAGAGCATGAAAAACACTTTAAAGGCTGTCCCATTTTGTGCGTATCAAAAAGTAGATTTATCGTTTGGAATAATTAAAAGAGAAAGCTTAAAGTTGCAGCTTGCAGGTGGCTGTGGAAAAGAATGTTCGATTGTTTTAAATCCCTGAAAATGCCTCCTGAAACTGGAAACTTTCCTTATGCGAATAATGTGCTCACAACATTATTCGCCTGCCTGCAGTTCCCAATAAACTCAAAAGAATTATGCTTCGAGATGAACTGGCTGGGCTGGCTAACATCATAGACCGGAAACTTAAATCACTCAATCGAACAGTAAATAGGAAAAGTTGCTGAAACGAAAAACAGTTTCCCAGCTAAAAGAAAAAATGGAAAATACTCTCGACTGGTGCTTCAGAACTTTTGCTTAAGCGAAAAACAAAAGATGTAAATTATGCCAATAAAGTGTTAAGAATCAAATATTTCACTGATATTATGAAGTCTTAGCTGGATTGTAGAATTCATATAGCAAGTGTAGATATCTCTGTTAGGTAGCTACTTATTTGTTTTGATAACAAATGTTTGTAATTAAGGAACCTATCTCCATTGTCAGCCTTTGTTTTTATTATTACTTTGTTTTTATTACTACTTAATTCAGGCACTTAAAGTGTTATCTATACAAAGTTAAAATGGGAATTGCTGATAAGAACGGGGAACCCAGCTGAGTTTAGACTTGAAAATTATCTCATTGCCTTAAGAAGGCATTGACATTAGCTTACTTCTCATTATGTCATTATAATTTTTCCAGGTACATGCTGTCTAATCAGGTAGAGCTCACCTCAATTAGCCGACCCGTGTTGCATGCTTCGCAGTCATATTTTAATTTGGGGTTTTCCCTGCTACGGTTGAGCAAGCCAACGAGTGTGGTATGCAAAACATTAGAGCGTCTGGGAATATTAATTAGCTTAGCTCACAGCTACACAGAGAAAAGTCATTGACTTCGGCAACACTAAACATGACTAGCCAGGTGGCGATTCGTATGGTGTGGCATGATGCCACAAGATAAACGACTTCAGCCCGAATGCAACTTATGAACTTGCAAATCTGATGGGAACAACAATTGTCTGAATGCATTTTGTTAGAAGACATTTGAATTGTAAACATAATGTGTCATACTTAAGCACTCACTGGTTATAAATTTAGCTTACTTCAAGCTTCATGAAGTCTAAGAGCAGGTAAATTAATTGACCTGAAGCTTTTAAGGCCTTAATTAACAAATATTTGTTTCGCAAGAGGGGCTTAATATGTAGCTAAAGCGAAAACGAGAGGTATTGAGTGAACGGGCGAAATATTATTCATTGTTAATTTTTGGTAAAAGGTAATTAACTCGAATCTTGATTTAGATTAACATATATAATGTATTTAACAAATGGCGGAGTTCAGTCATAGACAAGATGCAAATGTGGTTCTATGTCTTCTATAAACAAAATCTAAACCTAATTGTAATATCACTCGTGATCAATTTAGATCCTCTCCAGCCGCAAGTAGATGCCCCCAACCGTGCCCAAGACAATCGACATGGGGGTGTACTCGAGTGGAAAACTTGTCTTGTCGCAAACAGACAGCTTAAACCGGCTGATGATCTGGGCCAGGCCAATGCGCACTTGCATCTGGCCAAATCGCATTCCGATGCAATTTCTTGGTCCTTCGCCGAAGGGCAGCCATTCCACGGAGTCACGGGCGGCCACTTTCTCTTGCGAGAAGCGGTCCGGATCGAATGTTTCCGGATCCGGATACAGATCCTCGTCACGGTGGTAGGCACAGGCAGGAATCAGTATTTGAGTGCCCTTCTCAATAACGAACTTTGGATTACCCGGCACCACATAGTCGTTGAGGGCCCTCCGTTCGAGATGGGGAACCAGTGTGTATAGCCTTAGAGTCTCTATATTGCATTATTATGGAAGGTTAGTTAGAAATCCTCCATGGAATCAAAAAAAAAATCAAAACCAACCTGAGATAACCTGGTCCAAGTAACGCATGGCTTTGATGGACTCATAGGTTAGCTGACCCTCATGCTCCTCCAACAGCGTTTGGATTTCGCTCCTCAGTTTGTCTTGGATGCCCTGGTTCTGGGCCAACTCGTAAAGGCAATAGCTCATGGTCGAAGAGGAGGTCTCGAATCCGGCCACATAGAAGACAAACACTTGGGCAGCCAGCTCACCGATGTTCATTCCTTCGATCACCTCACCGTTCTCCATCGTGACACTGCCCTTCTGCTTCAGCTCGATCAGCAGATTCATGAAGTCGTTCCTTTTGAAGTTCTCCTTTTCCCTAATGGCAATCGTGTCGTTCACAAGGCGCATGAAGAACTGATGGACGTCCTCGGGCATCATGCGCATTCTCAGCTTCCTGGCAAGATTGGGAAAACTGAACATGAACATGGTGAGCAGATTTCCATGACGCAGTTCGTTGAACACCTTCTGTCCCATGGTGCGGAAATCACTGATGGGGTTGCGCAGTGTATTGCACTCTATGCCAAAGGCACAGGAGCCGATCACGTCGGTGGTGAACCTGGCCATCAGATCCTTAATCTCCAGAACAGCACCATTCTGCGTGGCCGGCACCTGCTCCGTCATCACCTTCACGAACTCCTCGGATACTTTGATCACCGTCGGGAACATGTACTTCATTTTGCCGGAGGTAAATGTGGGGGACAACCGCTGGCGCATATCCTTCCACTTCTTGCCGTCCAGGTTAAACAGATGCTGGGTAAGCGGATCATCACGCCCATTATGGAACTGGCCGCGGTCGGCGAAGTTGGAGAAGTCCTTGATCAAGATATTCTTGGCCAACTTAGGATCCATAATGAAGGCAGCCGGTTGGTGCAGAAAGTAGAAGCCCACGAAGGGGTTGCCGCTCTTCCGATACTTGTTGTAGTAGTCATAGAAGAAGTCGTGCATCACCCGATCCTTCCGGAACCCGACCATGTTGCCATACAAGGGATGCGGTGCATCGTGGGCTATTCCCCGGCGCTTCCAGTAGTTGATGTTTCGGTGGAACAGGTAAGCCAAAAGCGACGAGATCGCGATCAACAAATAAACTAAAACAAACATTCTGTTTGGCAACTCCCAATTCGCATTCGTCGTGCTCGACCTACGACGATTTACTGATCACCTCCAACATGTTCGGCAACAATTTATACGATTTTCCGACAACGCACAATCGGGAGAGAACCCAAATGCTTGTCGCTACATTTCTCCTTTGAAATATCAGCGTGACTAGCATAATTTTTAGTCAGTAGTCACGATTACAGACTCGGCGATATCACTAGGCGCTTTTCGATCGCTTCTAAGAGCGCTTTCTAAGAGCTATTCAAGGAACATTCTCTTGGCGCTTCACTGTACGAGAGTTCTTGGTTGGAAAAATATAAACAACCGATAACGAGATTGTTGTTAAACAAACCGGTCGGTGCTCATATCAAGTAAGTTATTCGCGTCAGGTTTTATCACTCATCAAAATTCTGTTTTATAATAGAGATATATGGGTGTAAAACTATTTACTTCTCAGTTAAGGTGAGGTATATAAAAATATGTATTGAAGATAAAGATTATATAACTTTTAACTAAGAACCAATTTGATTATATGGCGCTTTAACAGCAAACAAGATCGTAAGGAGCATTATGTAAAAAACTGTTTCCAGCGAGGTTATAAGTTATCGATCAATATTCATTGCCAATCTTATAGGATATTGATCTCCAATTTAATTTTCCTTAGATAGACGAACTTATTTAATCCGAAAGAGATTAAAACTGCTTAGTTTTAATAATATAAAACTCATTACTGGTTATCTTTTTTTTGTTTTTGTCTTTTATTCTCACCACCGTTATATTTGAGAGTCAGAAATGCCAGTGAGCGAGATGGTCATATATCCAAACGGTCTCTTAAAGCTAACTTACATGATAGAAAGAGATAACAATATATAAGGATGATAGCAAACTTACATGATAGAAAGAGGTAACAGTATATAAGGATAATATTTACAGTTAAGTTGTTTCTTAACTTATCTTACAGTGGGTCTTATACCTTTACCTTATGCTAAAGATTGTACAGTGGGCCTTAGTAGTACTTATCCTACCACACAGTCTTCTTAAATTACATAAATTTCTTAGTTTTTGCTTATTAATTAGATGATCATTAGGTTTGAAAATCAATTAAGAACGGGTTACTTAGCCTTAGCTGTAATAATTGGAAGTGAAAAGAAGCATTTGTACTTGAACGTCGAATAAATATCTTTGTTAGACGTAATAGTTTAATCGGCAGCGTTATTATAAGTAATAACTTCTCTGTTCCTCCTAGACTCGCAATTGTGTGTGCTCAACGCCCCGATTAGGCTTACGGTTAACCGCTCACAAGTCGCCTTCCGAAGGGGTATAAGCCGATTAGGATGTGCATTTGTCGCGGGAATCCCGCTTTTCTGCCAGCGGAAGGAGCGGGAACCCTAACGCGATTATGGCGGATTTATTTTCTACAATTGGAGGAAGGGGATGCACCAGCGAGGCAATATTGACCTTGTGCATCACTTATCACAAGTTGCTGGAAGTATTGGCATAGCCTTAAGACGGGGAAGAGTCCTTGTCCTGGAGTGTCCTTGGCTGTCATTGTCTTGCACTGGGAACAACCACACTGCTCCTGTGGTTTACATGTGCAACTGACACCTCTAAATCCCACTTTTACCCAGGACTCTGAGCTGTGAAAAGTGAGCAACGGATTCAATTCTCCCAGTCGTTCCGAAACTAAGTCCTCCAGCTTGACCTTGAGGTGCTCAACCTCGGCCCACATGTGTCACTGAGTTTGATATGGACTCGCATTAAGATGGGAAACAAAAATAGTGCCGAGCGAGGCGTTCTTGGCATAATGAAGCCCACAAAAAGAAACAAAGAACGCATTGAGGAAGCGGCGAGAAAAAACCAGATTGCCTCCTCCGACTGCACTTATGCGCTAAATAAAAATGCAAATCTAAATGCAGCTAAAGAGCCGAGAAGGGCCCCAAGAAGCCATCCAAGCTTACAAAGGAAAACCCCACGCCGGCGGCGCACAATGCAGATTCTTGAAGAATGCGCTCGAGGGCCCTCTAAGTCGACATCTGACTGCTGGTGCAGTTCTTGCGGATTGTTGTCTCCGGGGAGACGGCCTGGCTAATTGCAGATGCTGCTGCATCTCGGGAACGCTTTTGTAAACAGTCAGCTAATTGTTTGCTCTGCAGAGGTGTTGGGCTCTTTCAAATGCAAATGCTGAACCAGCCAGGGCAACTCTAATCTTAATCCCAATTCCATCCCAGCTCGGCGATCCCCTCCAGGCTGCTGGGTGCTACGTAGGTACATGCGTGCGAGAGCGTGCGCCTTGCATAAATTAGTTTTATTTGTGTATGGATGTCGAGCAATCTAAACAAATCGTGAGCAGGGCAGAGGTTTCTGCATTTCCTGTAGGGTGACAAAATGATGTTGCGTTTGCGTATTATGTAAATCACAATAAGAAGCCAAATCGAAAAGGGAGCACGAGGAGGAGGAGGCGGCAGTCAGGGGAAATCCCTTACGTCAATACACAGAAACACACTGGAAAATTCAGGAGAAGCCCTCCGGGCAGAGCCAAACTTCCTCCATAATAATCGCCATAACCATGATGATAAATTTTAATAAGCTTTTAGCTTTTCGAGTGTGGAAACGAGGATGTAAAACCTACTCCAATTAAAGCAGCCCCAGGCAGCGGTAATAATTAGCTCGAAGGATTCTTTTTGTCATTGGATGACATGGCGAATGCCTCTTGCGGGATTTTTCAATCACAATCGGGCAAATGGAGCGGCAGGATGATGGCTGATTGAATTTCTGGGCTGACATATTCGATTCCGTGATTGTCTGGCGTGTGTGGCATCTGGCTGCTCCATGCTCCATATTGATTCGGTGCTGATTGTGTGCCAAGGGCTTTGTTTCTCATCTCAGCATGGGCATCGGCATCTTCGGCGGAAGCCATAAAAAGTGTTGCACTGACAAGTGCTGGGTCAATGTGTCAAAAGAGAGAGCCCCGATGTCGCTGTCCATCAGGCGGGATGACACAAATTGTCACTCAAACCGCTGGCCAAGTTGCAAAATTGTCGACTTATGTTGCTGCAACCAGAGCACGGCGTCAGAAGCTTCTCACAGAGTTTCAGCTTTACGAGGGGCGATAAAACGCTCGCTCGAACGCACCGAGAATATGTTTTATATATGCCCAGATGGCACCACGTGGCGGATACGCACTTTAAACCGAAAATTGCCTTTTGTGCCGTGAATACAGGAGCAGTATAAGCCAGGCCCGGGAAATAGAGACCGAGCAGAGCTTTGGCCAAATAAATGACAAAGCCATTTGTAATGAAATATTAAAGCCGGCAATAAAAAGAAAGGCTGAGCGAAGGGCGGTAGCCACAGCGGGAAATGGGCCGGAAAACATCAGCATAATACTTATTCATTATGCTGCTGGTCTAGGCGTGGGCGTACTCACATTCCTATTCCAAGTCGTGGGCGGGCGAGGGAGGTGGGTTACACAAATTTTATTGGACACACAGCACATAAACATGATGTGGACCGGGCATTAAGAACGCCGAGCACATGGCCCGAAGGCAGGAGAAAAATCGATACTCATACGGACATATATGCAGCTCAGAGATCTGGCCGAAAACCGAATGGCTAACCGTTGCAGTTTCCACGACTCAGGTGGCAGAATTTAAATGGATTAAATAAAATGTGTCAGAAAGCAATTATTCAAATGAAGTCGCATTCACGCATCAAATTAAACTTCCACTCAAACGAAAACCAAGTGTGTTTTCAAAAGGAAATTAATTGTTTTCAGCTTCCCGTTTTGGCAAATCCAGTTTTGGCCCACAGCAGCAAATATAAATTTTAACTAGATTTCCACGATGACAAGACCAAATCACGATTGCCCTTTATGGACATGCCGAGAAATAAGGAAAACCGTATGATTGTCTGTAAAAACCTTTTCAAGTTGTCACTGCTGAAGTGGCTGTTGCTATTGCTGTTGCTTTTGCTGTTGCCTTTGCTTTGCTGGCAACTTGGCTTCATCTCCCCCCTCTGGGCCATAAGCCTCGGAATCACCCACCTAAATGTAAATTTGGCAAAACGCATGCCGAGCAAACTTTTCCCATGGTTGAAAGCAGAGGGAAAAAGTCGATAAGAATATTGTTTAACTCAATTCCGCACGCGAGTCTGAACTCAACCCGATTTGTTGATAAAAAGTGAAAGTGGAAAAGCAAAAAAGCAAAGAAGCAAAAAAAAAGCGAAAAGGCAACAGAACAACTGGCAGTCGAAACTCAACCCCGGGCAATCAAATTGAAAATTCTCCATTGTGCAAATATTGATTTTGTTCGCTGCATAAAGTTTTATGCGCCCAAAAAAAAAAAAATCGGAAGGGAGATTTCGAGTAGACCAGGGCCAAATTTGCTTTCTAATTTCCAGTGCGACAGGCAAGAACCTCAGAGCCATTCTTCAGTTGGACTGCCACAAGTGTCTGGGGCAAGGTCGAGTCCCGCTTTCTAAGTCTGTGCCCCGGCTAATTCAACGCCTTCTGTCTGTCCGTCGCGTCGTGTGTTCCCAGTTTTATCTTTATCTTTCCTTCAACATATTATTTATGGTAATCGACATCAAATGCTGCCATTAAGCTTATTGCCATGGCAAGCGGCAGAAGCAAAAACGTTTCCATACTTTTTTGTAGCTGATTTTTTTTGTGTCTTCCCTTTGCTTCTGCTGTTTATAGGCTTCGAAAGCTAAAAAAATTGTACATCTGCCTGGGTAAACTCTAAAAAAGGCGGGCAAACAAGTAACTCAAACTGAACTTTTATATACCCTTTCTGTGAATTGTATTGCAAAGGAAATGTATTGATTAGGATTTCGTGTTAAGGCTATAAAGATATCGCTTATTTGCTTATGATAAAAACAGGTTAGTGACCCCACGAAAGTCAGTAATGAAGTGTTAATTGGCAATATAAAATTGAAATTCATTTCCTCAGTGTAATCTCTCTTAATAATGGAAAATTACAAATGCCATCTTATCGACCTTGTCCAACGTTCTTTTTGCCAGGGTATTTCGAGGGAATTTACATACA